CTGGGCTGGCTGAAATTCCAACCTCATTCATTTTCATGGCTCCTCTCAGTGACGTAAAGCTCCCCATGGGGTATGTTGTGCCAAAGCCTGGGGGCCTTCCAGCCCCCGGTCATCTGTTGGTCTCTGCAGAGAGGGCGCACGTCTCAGTCCACGCAGCCCTTCAGTGCTGGGGGTTACTGCGGGGAGCATTCTCCGCTCCGCACCCACCTTCCTTAGACATCTCCCCGGGGCGAGACCAGCTGTTCCGGCTGTGTGCCTCCATGTCTGTCCTCCCAGTCTGTCTTCTCAGCCACCACCTGTTCTCCACATCTCCCCCTCTTTCTCCCGGACCTAGGCACTGAGAAGCATTTCTTAAGTTGGTAGCATCTTTTACAATGGACAGGAATAGTAATTAATGACAACCTTCTTTTGCTTTTTATGTTGAGAAGAAAACCAGCCATTGAATGATAACCAGGAAAGGGTCTGACTCTGCCTGAATAGGTGGGTGGGGTGGGGAGGAAAAAAAATTAGAACACAGCGCAGATTACTATTTTAAGATAAGATTGTGCCTCATTGATAAATCACAAAGTGAGCCAAGGTGTGGAGGGGAAACGCTCTGCCTTTTAGAGAGAACCGCGTTCGGTTCACAGCCCTGCCTCCCACCAGCTGAGAGACTGCGTAAGTTCCCTCACCCCAGGAGCCTGCAGTTCTGGGTGTCTTAGGTGGTTACGAGGATTTGCTGAGACGGTGTGTGGCATGGCTACGCGCACTGACTGCCTCCTCCAGCTTCACTAGATACACTGTCCTGGCATAAGTCAAGCGTGAGCAGGTCATCGCATCCTCGGTGTTGATTTACAAGTGCTCGGCAGGGCTGGGAACAAAGTCAGCCTCCGTAGCTACACAGAGGGTGGGTTTTCTGTGGGAGGCAGCAGTGGTCTTGCTACCCCGTGGTGGTGAACGGCTCTGTCACCCGGCAGCAGCCTCTGGCTAGGCGTCACTGGACGCAGGTTCTGGCAGATAAGACAGTGTGATTGGAGCAGGTCCGTGCTGAGGCTGGGAGGTGTTACTTTTACAGTGATGCTCTCATGTGTTTGAATCGGTGGGAACTGCACTGTGGCCGCACCCCTGAGTCTGGGCCCTGCCTCTGCTGGGGGCCCTGCAGGTGCTTCCTGTGACCCTGCCATCTGGAGGGGATGCTTTGCTCACCCCAGGCATTGATAGAGGCCCCTGGAATCCTCTTCCAGGTCTGCCCTGAGCGTCAGAGTGGTGCCAGAGCAGACAGGAAGGCACCTGGTGGCTATGATGGCACGACCAAGTGTGGCCTAAGCAGACAGGCGGCATTAACACTCGTGCTTTCTGCATCACTCACAGGTAAATACACAAACAGAAATGTGTTCGGGGAAGTGGAGTTGGTCAGCACCGCTTTGCTTCGTGCTCGCTGGAAAGATTAGATGATAAACTCTGAGCCTCAGAGCTGAGTTCTGATTGGAGCCGGGAGATCTGAGAGCTGAGAACCGCATTGTCTGTTGGATGCCGGATTTCAGGTCCCAGGGAGGTCATGTGGGGCCGTGAAAGCTGGAGGGGGGCCTGAGGTCATGACTCAGAGGCTCAACATTTTCCTGCTTGCCTCAGATGTGCTCGTCCTTCTCGGCCTCCTGCCCCGTCCTTCCTTCCCACGTGACCACACCCAACCCCAGATGGGCTGCCAAAGCCCCCACAGGCCGGTGCTGGTGCTGCTGTCCGCACAGGAGGGCTCCTGTGTGAGCGCCGAGGGACCAAGCTGCCTCGTGTGAGCTGTGATCCTGCAGGTGGGAGACAGGTGCGGACGGACTGGGTGTGGGGGAGATGGGGGTTACATATGGTTGGACCATGAGTCTGCTGGGCACGGGCATTTATTGGGCATCAGCAGGGCCCAAACAGGCTGGTGCCACCTGGAGTGTGGGGTGGGGCGATGAAAAGCAAATGGAGAAAAGCAGTCTCTGCACTGGGGAGAGGCCGAGCTGCCTGTGAGACGGGATGAGCACAGAGGCAGGACCTGAGGATGAGTGTGGGCCTGAATCCAGTTCGCTGCACGTAGGCCTCGGGCGCCTGAGGAGCAGGACTGGCTGCCTGTTCAGTCTGCTCAGAGCAGTGGGTTTAGGGGGAACTCGTAACGTCTCCCTGAGATGGGAACACGGCGTCCAGATCGCATGCTGGATGCAAACTTACAAATCACCAGCCTCTTGTGAGGCTGAAGTCTCTTTAAGGATTTTGGTATTTTCAGTGTAAACCCTGGATATATTCCAAACAGATGGGCTTTGGAAGGCTCTGTGGCATTTTGTGAGTGTAGCTATGGGAACACACGTTAAGTATATCCCTGTGCGGGAGGGACAGCGCTGCTCCACCCTCCTTTCTGCTCCCGGGCTGCAGAGCTCACACGAGGTGGGTGTAGGGCCCTCCCGTGCGTCCCAAGCTCCCCGCCAGCCTCGCACCCGGGCAGCTCAGCAGTGCAGAAAACTCACCCGTTCCGCTCTGCCTCTGCCTCTATCAGACTCCTGAGAAGGGCCTGCTGGATGGAGGAAGGACAAGGCATGACCGGCAGAGCCACTGCACAGGCCTTGCCCTAATTTCCCCACGAGCAAACTTCTTTCAGGATTCAAGGCTGGTGTGTGGGTTATTGTCTCCGACGTCACTCCCGATCCTGGCATTCTGTGGTCTCGTCATGCCAACTACTGTGACCGGGTGCTGCTCTGTGTCCAGGGAGGCTCAGGAATTGGGCACAAGCAATCTCGGGAAATACCTTGTGAGAATTAAATTGCAGTCGGGCCAGTGTCAGAAACGTAGAAATTCCATCTGTGATCACAGGAAGGATGAGGCTGGCAAAATACCCGGAGGGTCGCTCATGGGACAGAAGAGAAGCAGCTCCTCACCCGGCCGCAGCTGAGGTCGCCTGGGTCATTCAAAGGAGAAGAAAGTCCTTTGCACGTGCTCTGTCTGCCTCTGTCTGTCTCTGCCTCTGTCTCTCTCTGCCTCTGTCTCTCTCTGTCTCTGTCTCTCACACACACACACACAGACACACACACCCCCCAGCACCACACCATTTAAAGGGTCAATTAGAGCTGACAGCGTTGAGTCCACGCAGACAGTGCAGAAGCACCTGGGAGAAGTTACTGCTGCTGTCTGGCCTGAGGGCCCCTCACCATCGTTCACCCAGAATCTGCGGATCCCCGAGGGCCAGGGCAGCTGCATTTAAGCTTTGCTGAGTGTACACGGGCACAAGAGGAACTGATGCAGTGGACACACTAAGATGAAAAATTAGAAGCTATTTTTACGTTGAAAAAGAAAAGAAAAAAGTCAAACCCTTGAACATAAACGCACCAAAATGCTCCCGCAGCCGCACTCCCTGCCAGCAACGCGTTTGCCCTCGGTTACCGCCCTGAGCCAAATCTGTTGGTTGCTCTTTAAAGCTGATTTTTAAAAAAAGTGTGAAGATAAACCCTCTCTATTGTAACCGTGGGTGGATACCTACTTGAAGAACAGATACACAGCTTGACTCTTTCTTTCCACAGGCAGGTCGTGTGAAATCCTCCCTCAGGGATGTGGTGTCTGTTGTTCAAGCCCCGGGAAGCCCCACCGGCCGCACATCCCGTCTCCATCCCCCTCGGCTCTTTGACTGCTGGCCACGCAGTTAACACCCCTGAGACTCAGTTTCCTCCTCTGTAAAATGGGAATAATCACTCCTTTCTTTCAGCGTCAGAGTGAGTGTTAACACACAAATCTCTGTCCTGTGGCTCGGGCTGGAATGAGAACAAAACCGTGATTCCGTCAGGCTCCCTCCCCGGGCGGTGAGTGAAGCTCAGATGCTTAGACGGAATTTCAGTGGAGAGCTCGTCTCCTCAGGAAGCCTGTGAGCTCCCTCACCACAGAAAAAGAGCTTAAAATGTGCCCGATATGGGCACAAACTGAATTAGAACAGGGCCTACCGCAGGCCTGCTGGAGCCCAGGGCAACCCCTGCCCACGCACCCCCCACTCCATGCAGGACCCTCGGGACGGGCGGCTGGTGGCAGGTTCCCGGCTGTGCCTTCGGGCTCTGGCAGCAGAAGGGGAGGCCGGGTCTCTCCCAACGCCCCCGGGTGCCACTTCGGGAGCCGACGGGACACAGTGAATCCCCAGTCGCTCCCAGAGGACCCGGCCACCTCCCCTGGCGCCGGCTTTGTCCCCAGGCTTTGTTGTTTGCCCGTGGCTAATTCTTAATCTACTTATTTCCTCTGGACAGATTGAAAAAGAAACCCCAGTGATCCTTTTAGTATTTAAATGCTGCAGACCTCAAGGAGGCAGGTCCGGGAGGAAGCGTGTTGCTTATTTCAAAGCCACAACCTCCGGGAGTCTCCAGGACCTTGATTCCTCTCCTCCCGGCCATGCAGGCGGCGAGGGGTGAATTCAGATGGAAAACATGAGTCCCTCCTCCCGTGGTGGCCGGGGCAGCAGGGGTGACTCCAGCCCTGGGCCTGGTGGGGCCTTCATGGGGCGGAGGTCGACCCTGCAGGGCTGGGGGTCCTCAGCACAGCGATGCCACCGCAGGCTCTTCTGAGGAGGCTGCGTTCTTCCCCTCGTGTCTCTGGGCCCGATTTACCTTCTGCTCCAGCCCAGTCGTGGCTGTGGGGCCAACACTGCAGGCACTCAGGTCAACCTCAGGGGGCACGAGTCCACGGCACCTCGCATCTGGGCTGGCTCCGGGGAGTCTAGGTAAGAAAGAAGGCAAAGTGCCCTGAGACCGGAGTGGAGCCCACGGGGCCATCTGGAAGTGTGAGGGGAGTATGTGCCCTGGGGAAGATGCCAGCTTGAGGGAGACGAGGGGTTACTGTCTCACCTTTTCCCTGCTGAGACTGGTCTCGAGGTGAGGTTTGTGTGGCGTGTCAGGGATGGTCCCGGGTACACCTCAGCCATGACATCCGTCCGTCAGCTCCGTGACACGTGTGTGTAGCCCAGCTCCTGCCCACTTCACTTCGCGTGTGCTGGAGACTGTGCTCGGACTCTGCTTTTTGGGAAATACGAGCTGAAGCATCATCTTCATCTAATGAGTTGGTCTCCTGCAAGCTACTCCAGATCGCAGTTCCCGAGAAACTCCCAGGCCTCCGTGTCCCCTGACCGGCCTGAGGGGCCCGCGGCCTTGGCCAGCCGTGGGTCACATTGCATGACCCGATGCTCTGTGAGCTGCCTTCGTAGGCAGGGACAGCAGCGCTCTGGGCTTCCACGCACTGGGTTCTCCTGTTACCCAGCCCCGCCCCCCACCCCCGCCCACACACACAGGACTTCTCCTCTTTATTTTGGGATATTTTTCTTTGGTTCTGATTCCCAGGCTGCTTCCTGGCTACACAACTCTGTCTCCTCTAGACCAGAATTCTGGTTCCCACGCCGGGTCTTGGGGACCGTGGCGATCGCTGCCTGTCATGGAAACTTCAGAGGGCATCCCACGCACCGTGTGACTGTCTTAAAGCAAGTGACAGCAAGTGCTGGCGGGGGCTCAGATTACCTGGTATGGCAAGACCCCACTTTCCGATACGGAGAAAACAAGAAAATTTAGGAGCAGAGGACTGAGGAGCAGGTGCAGGGGCCATACACAGTGGGCCTGGAACCTCCTGTGATCCGCCAGCACCCGCGGGAGATGGGCCACACTCCATCACACGCTGGTACTGAGCCCGCAGAGATGAGAAGCAGGCCACGGGGTGACCCAGAGGAAGCCAGGCCTGCCTGTGTGTGGTGAGGCACAGGGCCTGCCGAATGGAAGCAAAACACACAGGGACCTCCCGCCGGCAGCGAGCAGGAGGGAGGGGCAGAGTCACCTGCACTGGATGATGTCGCTGAGGCTTTCTCTGGGGTTACGCTAAAGGGCCTCATAGAACCAAGCAGTAATGATTTCCTGGGTCTCTCATCCTGGAACCCCAGTAAATTAGAGGCCTCTAATATCTGAATGTGCATATCCCATTGAAATGATAAATGGCTTATCCTGCTCTAGGGAGCTTACAGGCAGATAGAGGGGCAGGTGAGGCTGTCTCAGGAGAGGCAAAGCTCCAGGCTGGGCATGCACACTGGGGCTAGAATTCAGTGACAGATGAGCTCTGGGAGGCTGAGGCACAGGCAGGGTGCAGGAGGCCAGGGCTCTGCAGCTGGAGGTCACTGGCTAAGAGCCTTGGTTGGGGCTCTGCGCCCACATTTGTCTTGACCTTGAATGAGCCACTCCTCTCAGGGTGTGTGCATTTGGGCTATGCCGCCTTCAGAGGTGGCCGCAGGTGGACTGGCCCTTCGAACACAGGTTCATGGTTGGAACTGTCATGGAAAAGGAAGAATCCTTCATTTTCATCCCCTATTTAGCCACCAGCAGGGCCCAGAGCCCTTCTCCATGTTGCCTGTGCAAACACAGTTTTCCAGCTGATAAGACAAGGGCAGATCCTGGATTTGCAGCCCCATGAGTCTCCACCAGCTCAAGCACACCTTGGTTCCGTAGGTGTCAGCTGCCTTCGTTGCATCATAATTAATGCTGATCGTTACTTGGTAGGCATTTTAACAGTCTTGGGGGCCCTGTGACTTGCATAAGGCCCAGTTAAGTGGGACTCAGATGAGGCCTTGGAGCCTGCAGCTTCATCCAGGAGCACCCGTGAGTGGTGCGAGAGGGGCAGGCAGTGAGAACAGAGGGCTGGGGCCTAGGGAGGTTCTTGGGAGCCCCTGCAGCCCCCTTCTTGCTTTCTCTCCCCTTGGTGCTTTCACAGCCACTTTCCAGACGTTCCGCATGCCCGGGGCTTTCGCTTTCCCAGGGTCTGGATTTCTGGATTGTGCCCCTGATTTTTCTTTCCCGGGTTTCTCCCCACAGTACGGTTTATTTCCTTCATTTTCCATGCCAGCAGGATACTGCTCTTGGCTTGCTGTCCAATGCTGGGGAAAATGAATGCATCAACTCATGAGGCAAGCTCCAAAGGTGCACTGGGGTATACGGCCCTGAGGTGAGCAGACACACGGGAGCGAAGGTATGATACGGCCCTGAGGTGAGCAGACACGTGGGAGGGAAGGTATGAAATCCAGATCTGGATTCTTATGAGGAATTTCAGGTATTCTGGCTGACAGCTGAAATATTTAATTGAACAAACATTTCCCAGCTCCCTCAATTCACTGCACAGAGTTCTACCCTCTCAGCCTAGACCAGAGGCAGGCCCTCCTGGTGGCCGCCCCTCCCGAACGCCTCACAGGAGCCTGTCTCGGTTTGGAGCTGTGCTGAGCTCTACCGATTAGCAGTTTCTTTCGTCATTTTAACGTAGGGTTTCCTGGGTCAGCCAGAGACCTGCATATCTAAAACGCTCTTATGTCTGCAGGCGAAAGGCTCCTGATTTGTAAGGCTAATGAGGATTTTAGAACATTTAACAGAGGTTTTGAAAATTTGGAAACAATGCAGCTGTTATCTTTCAGCGCATCCTTGCCCTTCCGTTTCCTGGATGAGTTCTCCTCCCCCGGGGACTGTCTTCTCTCATCTCTTTGAATTGTACACAGGCCCCCCAGTGGATGGCACCTGCTGCCCTGCCAGCCCCAGCCAAACCTCTCCTTGCTCGGTTTTATCCTGTTCCCAGGAGGAAACTGATCTTTCTTTAATCAAAGCTCAAATCCGTGCACTTCACAAGACCAGTCCCCAGCCCGCCCTCGTCCACGGTCTAGAATCTTTGGCCAGAAGTTGACTGTGTTTTTCATCTCCTGCTGGACGGTCAGCTCTGGGGCTAGAAAAGCCTGGAGAGATGGTAAGAGCAGCCAGGACAAAGAAACAGAAGACTCTTCTTGCAAAGAATAAAAGGTGTGTGTTCATTTATTCAGTAAGCGTTGATGATGTGCCTACTCTAGGCAGAGCGCCGCGTGGTGCTGCAGACACCCTGGGGACAAAGGGGGAGGCTTTGCACCCAGACAACTCGGCATGTAGCTTAACAAATAAATAACCTTGAGAACAGCAGCCACAGTGTGGGGCTCTCACCTGCTGAGCACTTGGAGCTAAAGGAGACGGCAGGCTTCAGAAGCCCAGCTCTGACTGCCTCTGCCTTTGACGTGAGTCACGGAAGCCACAATCCTCTTCCCCGTGGCAGCCGTGGAAGCAAAGGGCCTCCCCTCCCACAAAGCAAGCCCCAAAACCTAGTGAGAAAGAAAATAAAGTTTTAATCTGAGGAACGTGAGGAAGTATCAGGCCCTGGGAGGAGTTAAAATGAGAGGAGTCACGCCGCAGGTGCCTTGAGGGAAGTCGTCATTTCTAAGCCACCTGTTGTATGGACCCAAGACTGAGTGTGGCCACCAATAGTTACAAATTAATCTAACAAGAATGGCCATCCCACACCGGATACCACAGCTCACACCCCGTCATTCAACACGATATAACCAATCATACCACAGCTCACACCCCGTCATTCAACACGATATAACCAATCACTAGTCAACGTTACTTCTGCAAGCCAATTAGAATTCCTGACCAGCAGCTTGTGTCATCACCCCCTTTCCTGATTCGTCCTTTTTCCTTTAAAAATTGGAGCCTCTCCTTCGTTTCCTGAGCACTTCAGTGTGTCCCAGACTGTGAAGTGCTCAACCTTGGCCCAAAAAACTCTCTGCTTTAAATTTGCCACAGTTTCCTTCTTTAGGTAGACAATAGACAAGTATAAACCAAAAGGTATCTGAGACAGGTCCCCATCCACTTGAGGTTTACTTTGTCCAACCACCTCGGGCACACGTTCTGAGGCTGTGCCGTGGGCCGTGACACAGCCTCAGAAGAACATACGCCCGAGGTGGTTGGGGACAGCTTGGTTTTATACATTTTGGGGAGACAGACGTTCCAGGCCAAGACGTAAATCAATACATGTAGGGTGTACATTGGCAAGCCCAGAAAGGCAGGACGGCTCGAAGACAGGGGCTTCCAGGCCAAGGGGAAGGTTCAAAGAGTCGCGGATTTGTTTGAAACAGTTAAGTCCTGCTTGGAGAGGGAAACTCAGCATAAAGAAATGCTTAAGTTTGGATAAGGGGTTGTGGAAGACAAGGTTCTTGTCTTGTAGTTGAAGCCTCCAGGCAGCAGGCTTCAGAGAGAAAAGATGTGGAATGTCTCTTATCACACCTTAAAAGGTGTCAGAGTCTCCGGAAAGATCTGGTAAGGGAAAGAGACTCTCTCCAGAACGTAGATTTGCCCCCCAAGAGACAGCTTTGCAGAACCACTTCAGCGTATGTCAAATAAACATGTTTTGGGATAAAATACGTTGACTTCCTTCAGGGCCTGCTGTGTGTCATGTGATGCTATACCAGAGTCAGGCTAGAATCAGAAATATCGTGGCTACGAGGAGTCTGCTGTCTGTCTTCAGATCTCCGTTTTCATGTGAACGCTGGTCAGCTGCCTCTGAACTCCAGAAGGAGGAGGGGATGACACGGCACGTCTGACCCCCTCTTCTCGTTACATCCTGAGCTAGTTTTTCAGGTTTCTTTGGGGTCCCCCAGACCGAGGGGAGTGTCTGTTCAGTCAGTGGGGTCTTAGAATTTTATTTTTGGTTTATAAAGTTCACTCTTTCCCTTCCCCCTTCGAGCCCTCATTCCAGAGGGGTCCTGCCCATACCCAGGAGGCCGAAATGCTACGCAGAAAACCGAGAAGAAGCCACACAGAGCGGCCTTGGAGGCCCCAGTGTAGCACCACAGACCGCCCCGCTTTGTCCAAGCACAGTTCTCCAGTGTCCACTCGTCATGGAACCTAAGCACACAGACAGACGGTTCCCTGCGGCTTCAGGTCTTCGTTTCTCCAGGCACCTGTATTACATGAAACTTTCAGTAAATCTGTGATGTGATGCTTTTCTCTCGTCTTCCGTCACAGGAGTGTCTGCTGTGAGCCTCGGGATGGGTGAGGAAAGCTGCCACACCCTTCTGCCACTACATCTACACAGACGCACTTTCTTTGGATACATCCACAACAAACTTTTCCTCGTAAATTTCCACGTGTGAATGAGGTCAGTCGCGGGAGTGATGCTGAAGCACATCTGACGTGTCCTGGAGGCTGATTAGAGGCAGCAGCCCAGGCCCACTCAGATGCCCGGGGTGACCTGACGCACATCACCCTCTTCTCGCAGATCCCGGGAAGGAAACCAGTGAGGCTCGTGCGTTACAGGGCATGAGGAAATTACAGACTCTGAAGTTTGTGAGGCCATCTTAAGTGATTTTCAAGGGCATCATCTATACTCCAGCAAGCACTGCAACCATCGTTTTACACAGAAAAAGCAATTCTGGTCGATTACAAAAGCCTCCACTGCCCAGAATATAATTCGACCTGGACATGTGCTGGTGTCAGACTCCAGAAAGTGCATTCTGTCCGGCACAGACAACCTGGGAATCAAAAGTAAAGTGGTTTCTACTTATTTGAACCACGAACTGTGCACACAGAAACCTTCTTTCACTTAGGATTAAGTGTTTTCCTTCAAACGCCTCTTGAGTGACTCGCTATCAATTCAGAAAGGCCACCTGTCCAGCAGACAGCAAAGAAAAACAGCCTAGCTTTGTCTCGGGAAAAAAACTCGTCTTCCTGTCTCCCTTTCTGGTTCTGCACCGAAAGTCAAGCACCTTCCCCAGACACCAGAGTGCGAATGCAGGAGCTAAACCCTCCTGCAAAGACACGGGATGGTTCTATTGAAAAATAACTGTGCCTTTTTAATGTTTTGCTTCTGTATTTTATAACAGCTCTCTGGTAGCTGATGCCCGCTCCCTTTCCAACGCTCAGTGCCGTTCCTCCTTCCTCTGCTCCCTCAGACGGAACCGGGCTGGCTGCCTCTGTTCTGAGAAGCCTGCGGCTGACTGTGGGCTTGACATGAGATATTTATCATCTCAGGATGTCTTCCCTCAGATCGCCGGCTCTCCACCCCCAGACTTCTTTATCTTATTTTGCTAAACAAGATGAGTTTCCGTCACTGCTAGAAGTAATTGACTTGTTTTTTAATATATATCAAGGCCCAGGTTAACAACTGGACAATGCAATGCATTTATTATTCTCTCTCTCTTGTTTATTCTAGTGTGAAATTGTTTTCCAGGTAGTGATTAATTCTGCCGAAGCTTCCTGCCCTTGCTGGGTAATTTGCTGTGTTTGGGAAGAAGATGCTCACTGCACAGCTCTGCTGTCAGAGGTGTCCCTACTGCTTTGTCAAACGCTCGCGCCTCTGTTGTCTTCTGCCAATCCGTCAGGCCTGTGGTCCTTCCCTCATTTCCCGGTTCTGAGTTTCCTGTGGGGACGACTGATGCGGGGTCTGTGGGGAGACTGTGTCAGGAGGCTGGGGTGGGCTGGGGAGGGCCCCTGGCGGTGGCTCCAAGGCATCTCCGCCGTAATGGGGAACAGAGTGGCTGGCTGCCCCAGTGTCAGCCGGTTCTGAAAGTGGGAATGACTCAGCTGAGCTGAGATGTCACTGGTGGAGACTCAGACTGAGGATTCTGACTCCCTGGGCTGAGGAACAGCAGTGCTGGGAACACGGGGCGGACAAGGTATGACGAAGCTGGAGAGCCTCATATTATCCCCATGGAAGCGGCGACGGACCCCCAGAACCATTCCTGGGCCGTGGGAGCGAGGACGCTGGGGGCACAAGGACGAGCTGAAGAAGTTGTCCCGATTGTGGCTGTCGGAGGGAGGACGTGGCTGTCGGAGGGAGGACGTGGCGTCGTGGTGGGCCAGAGTATCAGCCTCAACACCACCCACCCCTCAGGCCGCAGCCCTCCCCGTGGCTGCTGTGTGCACTGGAGGGCACTTGGCAGCATCTCCAGCCTCCCCACTAAGAAACCAGATGCCAGGAGCATCTGCACCCCTCCCCAAGGTGCAACCGCCAAAAACATCGCCCGACATTGCCAAATGTTGTCCGCTGGGGGTGGGGACAAACACCCCTCCTCCACCTTGAGGACTGCAGCCGGAACTCAATGAAGAGCAGCAGCCAGTGTCTCTTGCAGGGTCTGTCCACGGCCATCTGGGTGAGTTTCTCACCTCAGCTCAGAGGGAGGGTGACGTGCGTGGACGGCTAAGCCGCTTCGCGAGGCAGCTGCACCCCCACCCCAGGCCTGGGCTGCACCGTGAGGCTTTCCCGCCTACTGTGCACATCCTGGGAGTTTGGGAAAAGTCCTGAGAAATGAGGCCCAAGCTCCCTCCTCGCCACTTTCAAGCCAGAAGGATGTACAGAGTGTGGTCAGAATTAACATGAAGTGGCACCTGCTGCCAGGCTCTGCCTGCTTCTTTCTCAGGCCTTCCATCACCTCCCCCCCAGGACAGCCTTGGGAGGCACCTGGATTCCTCCCGCTTACCGATGCCACAAACGTGTAAAACGACCTGTCCAAGGCCACACACCTTACAATCTCCCACTGTCAATCGCTAGACCCGTTTCTTCCAGAGGGGTGAGATTGTCCTTAGGCAATGTGACCTGTGCCATTAGCGTGTGTGCTCTGCGGACTAAAAAAAAATCTAAAAAACCATCCTGAAGACGTTTAGATTTGGTTTCATTCTGTGTTGATCTTTATCATCAAATTTGCCTTCCTAATGGAATTGTGCCTGTGTCAACATTCAAGTGAGCTTGCATTCCCTGAGCACTCGCAACCGACGGTGTGTGTGTCTGCGTGAATCTGTATGTCTTTCTGTGTGTCTGTGTGCGTATCTGTGGGTTGTGTATGTCTGTGTGTGTGTGTCTGTGTGTGTCTGCGTGAATCTGTGTGTCTTTCTGTGTGTGTCTGTGTGTGTCTGCGTGAATCTGTATGTCTTTCTGTGTGTCTGTGTGCATATCTGTGGGTTGTGTATGTCTGTGTGTGTGTCTGTGTGTGTCTGCGTGAATCTGTATGTCTTTCTGTGTGTCTGTGTGCGTATCTGTGGGTTGTTGTGTGTGTCTGCGTGAATCTGTATGTCTTTCTGTGTGTCTGTGTGCGTATCTGTGGGTTGTGTATGTCTGTGTGTGTGTCTGTGTGTGTCTGCGTGAATCTGTATGTCTTTCTGTGTGTCTGTGTGCGTATCTGTGGGTTGTGTGTGTCTGTGTGTGTGTGTCTGTGTGCGTCTAAGTCTATATGTGTCTGTGTCTGGGCGTGCATGTTTGTATGTCTGTGTGTGTCAGTGTTTCTGTGTGTGTCAGTGTGTCTGTGTGTCCCTGTGTATGTGTGTTTACATCCGTGTGTGTCTGTGTGTGGTTTTGGGTTGGAGCTGGCGGAGGCAGGGTTGATAAGAGGAACTGGTTTAGGAAGCCAGGAGCAGCAAGGCCGACGGGCCTCTCCTGGAGACTGTCCCCCTCACCCCTCACCTCCACGGGGGAACTGCCTGGGTGTGGGCAGAGCCTGTGCCCTCTTCACCAACTGCCGCAGCCCAGCCTGACCTCCTGACCTCGTTCCTGCTACTTTGAAGGCACCATGTGATGTGATTATATGTGTACAGTGTGTGTGTGGTGGGTGGTCTATGTATAAGTGTGTATGTGTGTAGTGTGTGGTGTGTATTTGTAATGTTTGGTGTTTGTGGTGTTGATGTGTGGTTTGTATGGTGTGTAGTGTTTGGCGTGTGTGGGTTATGTTTGGTGTGTGTGTGGTGTGTGTGGGTTATGTTTGGTGTGTAGTGTGCACGTGGTGTGTAATGTGTGGTTTGTGTGGTGTGTATTTGTTGTGTGTGTTGTGTGTGGTGAATGTGTGGTTGTGTGGTGTGTAGTGTGTTTGGTGTGTGTGGTATCAATGGTGTCTATGGTATGTGTTTGGTGTTTGTGGTGTGTGCGTGGTGTGTGGGCTGTGTGTGGTATGTAGGGTGTATGGGGTGTGGTGTGGGGTGTGTGTGGGGTGTGGTGTGTGTGATGCATGGTGTGTGTAGTGTGTAGTGTGGTGTATGTGGGGTGTAGTGTGTGTGGTGTGTGTGAAGCATAGTGTATGTGGGTTGTGTGTAGTGTGTAGTGTGTGTTGTGTGTGGGCCGTAGTGTGGTGTGTGTGACGCATGGTGTGTGTGGGTTGTGTTTGGTGCGTATGTGTGTACACTGTGTGGTGTGGGAGGTGTTGTGTGGTGCATGTGGTGTGTCTGCTGCGTGTGTGCCTGGTGTGTGTGTCTGTGTGTGATGCACGTGTGGATGGCTTTTGCGTGTGGCTGTCTGTGTGAGCATGTTTGAAGTGTGAGCATGTTTGAAGCGTGAGCATGTTTGAAGTGTGAGCGTGTTTGAAGTGTGAGCATGTTTGAAGACACGTATGAGGGTCACGGAAGGGCACCTTTGCGCCATGGCCTTGACGGGGACTAGGACGAGCGGGACTCAGAACAATGTCAGTGGTACCCTGAGAAAATCCTTTCCCCACTGGCTCTTTATGGCATCAATAAAATGGTGATAAAAGTCACCCGTGCCTCACAGGGTGGTGCTGGAGATTAAATGGTGTAAGATGCGTGAACCTGCCCTCCTGTGACGGGAACTGTTTTCTCCGTTGAGCCTTCTCCCCTGTGGTTCGAACATTTCAGTTTCCCCCACAACTCCTGGCTGATGATCGCGCTTCGGCTCCTTTTTCTAAAATAGATGCTCTTGTGAATTGTGCTGCTATAAACACGTGTGCGCAAGCGTCTGTTTTGAATAACGACTTCTTTTCCTGTGGGTAGATTCCCAGCAGTGGAGTTGCTGGATCAAATGGTCGTTCTACTTTGAGTTCTTTGAGGAGTGTCCGTACAGTTTTCCACAGCGGCTGTGCCAGCTTGCGTCCCACCAGCAGTGTAGAAGTGTCCCCGGAGCACGGCACCCTCGCCAGCATCTACTGTTCGCTAATGTTTTGATTATGGACGCTCTTGCAGGCGCGAGGTGATGTCACATTGTGGTTTTAATTTGCATTTCCCTGGCGGGAAGAGTGGAGGGGGCGAGGCATAAAAGACTACAGATACGGAGCAGCGTGTACTGCTCGGGTGATGAGTGCACGAAAATCTCACAAATCGCCAGTAAAGAACTTCCTCATGTAACCAAATACCACCTGCACCCCTAATAACTTGTGGAAAAATAAATAAATAAATAAATAAATAAATAAATAAATAAAATGCTCTTAGAAGCACTCAGAGGAATCCCTACCTCCTGTTTGACAGCCCACCGTCCCCGGCCACGGAGGAGGGAGAGGTCAGGCCGGGGTAGCGTGTGCCGCACTCAGTGCTGCCTGTAACCCTGAGGGCTGACATAAGTCTTCCAAATTCAACACAGAAGCTCTGCCTCCGGTTCAGATCAGCTTCTAAAAGGGGTGGACAATGTCTCATCCAGACTGAAATTCCACAGTTGCTTGTTCTGTTTCCATGTCTTGCAATACCAGGGTGGGATGAGAATATTTGTTTATTTTACTTCTGAAGAAATCATCTTTATTTAGGATACGTGATAAAAAGGCTGCTTGAAAATGCTGTGTCTCCCAGAGGCAAGAAATAACGTGTGGGCCTTGGAGTCAGAAAGTGCTGGATTCGACAGTTCCACCATTAACTAGCGGTTTGTTTGTTTTTAAAGTTTGGTAAAATACACCTAACAGAATATTTACCATCCCAGCCGTTTTTAGGGACGCAGTTCAGTAAAGTTAAGTACATTCACGTTGCTGTGCAGCCAGCAGTCAGGTTTCTTAACCTCTGAGATGTTAACTCTCTGAGCTCACCCTCGCCATCGTCATCCTCTCCGGCTAAATCTGGAGGCTCCTCGTGCCAGGAGTGAAGTTTGTTGAGATTTGGTGTCAGAAAGAAACCACTAGCATCCTTGAAGCTCTAAATGCGTGCCCTGTAGGCTCACAGCCTCACCGCATGTCAGTCTCATCTCAGAGGCACTGGGATCTGTGGCTTCAAAGGTTTATTACATACGACATGTTTTAAACAGTCAAGTATCTGTGCACAAACATTAAATTACTTTCACATGATAGGTGCTGGGGAAACGGATACATATGACATTGTTCTGTTAACCTGAAATAGTAAAAAATACCGGATTCCAGTTTACAGCTTTTATTCAAGCGAAAAGCTGGGAATGGGAGACAAAGACCCCAGAGAAATAGGGTCAGTGCTCTGAGATAAAAGTTAAGTTCTCGCTTATATAGGCAGAGAAGAGGTTTAGTAGGATCGTAACACTTTTTACACAAGGCTGGTTTATGAGTTACAATAACTTTATTTTCTTTTCCTCAGGTCTTGTTTTCTTTCCTTTACAACCGGTTTTCATCTCCTTTCCAATTTAAAGTGTGTATTTAATGTTTCATCTTAGACCCTGTGATAATCATGAAGTTTTGTGTGAGAAAGAGAAGGGGGAAGTTCATCTAGATGAAGGTCAGCAGTGAAGAGGGAGGGGCTGCCCCTTGTGCTTTTTAGTCATTTGTAACATTTAACCAAACGGTGTGTACAAGGACTAAGGCTAATCTATAATCAGAGAAACGAAGGTTGCAGCTCCTGTTACCTGACTCAGGCCCTTACATTCCTTTAAGGCTCAAAACAATTTAGAGTCCCAGCAGCTTAGATTTTGAATGACTTATTTTCACAGTGTAGCCGGTCGTCAAGATGTGCTGGATGAGGGACTGCCAGGCCCCGCGTGACGGTGTTGGGAGTTCACTGGGCGCAAAGCAGACGGAGCTGCTGTCTGGGGAGCCTGTGCTCTGGCTGACGGCTGGTGGCTGCTGCGCGTCCGAGAGGAAGATCAGCATCTGCCCTTCCCCTCCTGACTGTTTCTCCTCCAGACCTCGAGGCTTCCACTGGTGAGAAGCCGCCCCACGAGGTGCCCTCCTCAGCCTCGGCCTTCTGCTTCCTCAGGCTGCACCACTCTCCTTGTCCCGTGCCGACCATCCTCCCTTCTCACGCTCCA